TCTTTCCCAATTGTGAGATAAGGGTCCATCTTTGTACTTGAAAATTTATAGTAAACTATTTTGACTAGGCTAAGCCATGTGGTTTTTCCTATTCCGGGATTTCCAAATAAAAAGTTCTGATGCCTTGTCTTGTAACTTTCTCATTATCTATGTATAGCAACATTCCCAAACTTTTCTTTTTTAGATTTATTCCACCTAAATCTTCTAAATCACATAAAAAAATCACTATGTAACTTCTAACATGTGAAATATACATTTTCATGCATAGCCAAGATGGCATGTAAAAATTAAAATTGTTGAATATGTATGAGTGTGCGTGTGTGTACATATATGTATGCAGTAAAAATGTTAGGGACATACCTCGAAAATGGTTGAATCTAAATCATCAGGATTCCTTGTATCCCCTTTCCATATCTATAAAAAGTTGCCAAAATATATGGACATTCATATTACATTTATGATTGCAAAATATATAATTCAATCTTCAATAATAATTATTTATGCATTTTCTCATTCATAAATTTCTTCCTAAGAAAACAATATCAAAATAAGCAGCAAAAAAAAAGGATAAAACTGTTGAAATTTTTAATGCAAATTAACAGCCCTTTATTTTTGCTTATTATTTTTCCTCCGCCCAAACAACCAAACAAATGAAAAATAGAAACAAGCAAAATCACTGTAATTTTCACTACATATTTCAAAAAAGTTCCTTTTGTCACAAAGCTTTACAATAAACTTTGCAAAAAGGTGCTGCGGTCTCAAACAAATCCTAAGCTTCATTCAACAATGATTAATAAATAAATGTGATGATTTATATGCAAATCATATAATTCTTATAAGTTAAATATATCTAATATTTAAAATTTAATATTTATTTATGTGACACTTTAATATTTAAAGTGTACAAAAATGACTCATATTAATTTTTCTCAAAAAGAATACATATTTTCGGACATATGTTATGATTGCTTATGACATTAAAACATTATGTAATTAAATATCAATAATAATTAACAATATATAAATACATAAAAGTATGTGATAAATATATAAATCTCTCATAAGAAATATAGCAATATGTAGACATGTAATACGAACCTTTAAAGAATTCTCGTCTTGCACACCAAATAAAGATTTCGCTTTTGCAGGTTCCCTTAACAGTAGTCGTGTTTTGATATTGCGCTTTAGCAATGATGCCACTATAAGCTGCCCTGCAATAATAATAGAAAAAGGATTATTTACTAATGAGATATCAATGGAAAAAAAATAATTATTTGAACCAATAAGTGAAACAAATGGTTGAATGTTGACCAATATTATATCAACATGCAAAATATTTTTAACCATTCTATGTTATATTAAACTAAATTTTCTTAATTGCGCCAAGAATTAATTAAATTAATGTAATAACATATTGCCTATTTGTTTATATACAAAAAGTGTGATCTAATTGTGATAGTATTGTGCCGTTTTTCATCATTAAGCTAAGGATTTGTTTGGGAAAGTTTTTTATTTTCTTTGTGTTTCAGACCGTCACTATAGTTTTGTTTGGGGAACTGCTTTCTCGTTGCTTTCTAGAAATTTTTGTAAAGGAAAATTGTTTTTTCAACATGAACTGTTAAAGTGTGGTGGCTGTAAGAAAACCGTTGTCTGTTTTTCAAAAAAAAAAAATTATAAGTCTCACCATAATTTTCTAAAGTTATTTCTCCATCATAGCGTCACAACTACCTTTTTAAAGAAATGCAGCTAACCCAAACAGATCCTAAAGGTATTAGGAAGATGATTAATTAGCTACAATTTGAGCGGTTGTGACGCATTTGATTCATATATTTATGAACCGAAGGGTATTTAATAGCATAAAAGCGAGACTGGGAATCATGATTTGGTGCTTAATATTTGATATTTTGAATCTGTTACCATGATGCCCATGTCCAATATCTTGGATCATCGTTCACAGTTAAAAAAGTTACATACTACGATAGTGATTGTTGTTCATGCCTTTGTATTTCTAAATATATCACACCATAAAACAATATAAAGACTAAGTGTTAAAAGGTAAATAATTTTTATTTTGAAAGTCAAAAGACCGTCTTAGGATATAATTTGTCTTCTTGTTTTATCATAGTAATAAAATCCTGTGAGTTTCTTTCTCTGTCAATTTTTTCTTTTTCTTCTCCAATTTTCTCCCTATCTTCTATTCTGTGAAACTTTGCAAGTATTACTTGTACAGTGTTGATATCATCATTGATAAATTTGAATCCAACATTATCAAAAGGATTTAAGAATATATACAAATATCTCACACAAAAAGAGAAGAGAGAGAAAGAGAGAGAGAGAGAGAGGAAAGCATACACACAAGTTTCTCATAATTTTTAAAGTGAAATAATAGAAAAACAAAATAAAAAGGCTTTGCCTGATTAAAAAGAGTTATGCTAGTATTATTTGATGATTTTAATGATCTTCCCTTTCAGTATTAGAGAAGGTATCTAAGAATTTAGACCACATGAGCAGTGGAAAAATCATAATTAACAAAGGCTCAGTAAAAAAAAAAAAAACTAACAAAACTAAATTGAAATTAGAAGTTCAACATTTAATAATTTTAATCAGAAGTAAATTAAGGAAACTTCAAGATTTAATATGACAGTTTCCTAAATTGACATAATAAATTAAAAACACATATTCTAGGGTTTAAAAGGTGGTGAGCACCTCTATCTCTAGTTGCAAAGGATAATGGCCGTTAGTGGTCAACATTTAAATTGCAAGCTTATAAGCTAGTGGATGACGGAGATCGATGTTGGTAAATAATGGCTGTTAGCTAGACAATGGATGTCAATAGACATTGAAATTAGTTGAAGATGGGCATTAAATGATGAGAGACAATGGGTATCAAAAGATGAAGTGCATCAATGTTGGTTTAAAACGAAAGATGTTTAAGATCAAGTGTTGACACTAATCGAGGTTCTATGTAAAGATAGATGATGCTTTGTTTGCGAACCGGAGGTTGTTGCAATTAGTTGATGAGGAATAGGAATTAATTTCAGAGAGCTATTTAAAAGATGGAAATAACTGACGATAATTAGTATAAGATAAATAAGGAACTTTATACTAGAATATAATCCTTCAAAAAGGAGAATGAATAAAGGCCAAACACTTGAAGAGCAATACTAACGAGCTTTATATTATATTTCCTTTAAAAATATGAATATGTTTCATTTTTATTTGTTTGGATGTGTGTGTGTGTATGTTCATACTTATTGTGGTTTATCTGATCTGAATGATTAAGGATTTCCCAATTTCTCTTTTTTCTCTTGCCTTATGCTTACTTCAACGGGCATTGAATTTTAAAGCAGTCAAGTCTTGCCTAAGGTGTAAACTGGAAAGGTTGTGCCTTGGCCTTCAAAAAATTAATAACTAAGAGTCGGTTATGGCCACTAGGCTCTTAGGCTTTGGATTTCCGTGGGATTTGGTAATTGGCCATGGTTGTTAGCACCAAAAATTGAAAGGTGGTGAGCACCCCTATCTCTAGTTGCAAAGGCTAATGACTGTGTTAGTGGTCAACATTTAAATTGCAATCTTATAAGCTAGTGGATGATGGAGATCGATGTTGGTAAATAATGGTTATTAGGTAGACAGTGGATGCAATAAATGATGAGAGACAATGGGCATCAAGAGATGAAGAGCATCAATGTTGGTTTTGAAAAAAAAAGAAGTTTAATGTCAAGTGCTGACATTAATCGAGGTTCTTTGGAGAGATAGAAAATGCTTTGTCTGTGAACCGAAGGTTGTAGCAATTAGCTGATGAGGAGGCATAGGAATTAATTTCATAGAGCCCTTTAAAAGATGGAAATAATTGAAGAAATTTGTTATAAGATAAATAAGGAACTTTATACTAGAGTCTAATCCTTAAAAACGGAGATGAAGCAAAGTTAAAGACTTGAAGAGCAATAATTTGCAAATGTATGCGAGAAAATATAAGATATATTGAGCTTTATATTATATTTCCTTTAAGAATATGGATGTGTTTTCACTTTTATTTTGTTTGGATTTGTGCATGTGAGTGTGTATTCATACTTTTTGTGTTTTATCTAATTTGAATGATTAAGGATTTCTTCAATTTCTCTTTTTTCTCTTGCCTTATGCTTACTTCAATGGGCATTGAATTTTAGAGCAGTCAAGCCTTGCCTTCGGTGTAAATTGGAAAAATTGTGTCTTCGCCTTCAAAAAATTAATAACCAGGAGTCGGTTGTGGGCACTAGGCTCTTAGGCTTTGGTTTTTCGTGTGATTTGGTTCTCAGCACTAAAAATTGAAAGGTGGCAAGCACCCCTTTCTCTAGTTGCACAGGCTAATGACTATGTTAGTGGTCAACATTTAAATTGTGACCTTATAAGCTAGTGGTTGATGGAGATCAATGTTGGTAATAAATGGCTGTTAGCTAGGTAATGGATGTTAAAAGACATTGACATTAGTCGAAGATGAGCATTAAATGATGAGACAATGGGCATCAAAAGATGAAGAGCATCAATCTTAGTTTAATATCGACTCAGTAGATCAATTCAATGAGAACGACACTTGCCAAATAGGTCCTAAGCATATTCCCAAGTCACGACTTATGGGAACTCGCTAATTGAATCCTACACAGACTTGGCAGACAGGTTCTAGGACTTGCCATCCAACTGTTGAATGAGATGTCCACTCATGCTCACAGATAGCTTGTCCAATGCCATCGATGAGATTACCTTATTGAATCAGATTAGAGAGCTACTCGACAATTGTCACTAGGAGAACTAGCAAATCCTTTAGGCCCAATGATCAATTAATAACGAGTGTTAGTTTTTACTAGATGGATCCAATGAGAACAAAACCCGCCAACAACATCCTAAGCAGATTCCCAAGTCATGTCTTTAGGAACTCGCTAAATGGGTCCTAAGTAGACATGCCAGACGGGTTCTAGGACGACTTTCTAGCTAACTGAAGAAAGAGACATCCAATTATGCTCATAGTAGCTTGACCCATGCCATTTGTAGGATTGCCTAATTGACTCAGATTAGAGAGCTACTCAACGATCATCACAAGGAGAACTAGCGACTCCTCTAGGCCCAGTGATCAATTAATAGTTTGAGTTTCAGTTTTAATTGGGCTACACATCCCTCCTATTTTTTCGTATTTCTATATTCTTATTACAAGTATAACTCAATCTATTTTCTTTCTTGTAGCACTTGAGACATCAAATCTCTACCTATAAATAAGAGATCTTGGGATAAGCCAAAGTTTTAAGATTTTTGGTCCAGCATCTTCTCACATTTATTGTAACTATTTAGCCTTATAATAACTTTTTTCCTCTTCCTTCCTGCTTCCTTTTTTTCCTCTTCTCTGGAGGCTTCTTTATTTTTATTTGGGTTAGTAAGGTTCTAATATAACCAACATAAAAAACATGTTTCAACATGTAAAATTGAGTAGTACAAATTCTAGTAATTAGAAGTCCTCGATAAATAATAGGATTATTAATTAACATTCACGCATAAAATTCTATAGTAGGATGAGTACTAAAATGTATCCTATATATAATTCTACTAGAGAACAATATGACCTATTTATAGATTTTTGAAGGAGTGGTTTCACCATTATATTAGGATCTATCAAAATGGCGCCATAAATAATCCCCACCTCTTTTTTAAAAAGGGATCATAAAATCCTCCTTCGAGCCCTAATCTACGTGCCTAGCTTAGCTAGGGCTGGCCTAGATGGTTGATCGACAGGCGATGGTAGTGTTTCGATGGTATCTACCTATAATGAATTGTTGGTGGATGATAGTAGTCTAGCGTTGTCCGTCAGCAAATAATTCTCCAATCAATGAACAAAATGTTCCTCAAATCTCTTTACGCCAAATGTGCAGCATAATTAATCGAATAGAAATTTGATGGCCAACTTGTCCTAAACAATCATTATGGGATGTATGATACGATCTTATCAATATAAGAAAATATAGACAATAATGATGACCTTAGTATGTATTTGTTAGCATTGATGAGAGCAAGCCAATGCAAATGAAGTTTCAAGAGGACACTAAGAGGCTGTCTGATAACGGATTTAGAGTGGGATTTAAGCTAAATCTTGCCAGATGGTCATTTTGGACAAGATGAAGGCGCGAATTTGATAAATCCGAATTTTGCAGATTTTGGCCGTAAATCTCGTAAATCCTAAATTCCATGACGGGTGGATTAACGGGATTTACAACAAGAATGATTGGGATCGCGGTGGATTAATGCAGAACTTCCCAAATAGTTTTAATGTATTTTCGTTGTGAGACGGTTTTTCATTCAGGATTTAGTAAATCCGGATTTACAAAATTTATTAAATCCTAATAACTTAAAATACACCTGTTACCAAACAACCCCTAAAATATTGTGTTGAAATGTTCTTCCCAAGAGCAACTAAATGCCAAAGACGGCTCTTGATTTCATGGCTTTTAGAGGTCACAATGGCTTTGAGAAGTTAATCTTTGAATTTTTCCAATTAATCTAGAGCAACTTATCTCCATCAGAATCAGATCCAAACAGAATGTAGACTTTCCTATCCAATCCAAGCTTAGCGAAATAATAATCTAAGAAACAGTTCTGCAATTCTGACAATTAAATATTCTTATCGTAACAAATCTGCTCCAAAAATACATAAATATAACTGAATCTGAGACTAAAACAGAAAGAAAACTATTATCGAGGGAATCAAAAGAGATAACTGACCTACTCCTCCTGTTCCTCCAACTACGAGAACAAGCTTCGAAGTGGAAGGATTGGTTTCAGAAATATCGGTTTCGGCCGATTCATAGCTTTGTATCTGCTCTTCCTGTACTGCATCAGAGACCGAAGCACCTCCTCCGCTGCTGTAGCTATGAAGCGGATGAAAGCTTTGCCCTCTGAGATCTTTTAATGAGATGAGTAAAGGTGAAGCCTTTCTAAGAATCCCCATTTGGATTTTCTCCGAGGAAACAGGAAGAACTTGGAGCAGATGAGGGCAGAGATTCAGAGCCATTAGATGGGAAAAAGATGAACGGAGAAAATTAGTTCCATCGCCACTTAACCGATAGATATTCTTTACATATCTCAGGGTGCATTAGGGAAATATTTTGAGCTTGATTTCATAATTTTTTTTTATTTTTGGAGGACAATTTTGTAATAAAAAAGATTATTGCTTTGCTGGTGAGCACAGTCCAAAGTTACATTTTGCTTGATTTCATTACGGAATTACATGTTCCTTTGCAGTATCTTGAATATTGCCAACTGCAGTAGCTACTGGAGGGCAAGAACAATGCAAAATGTGGGGGCTTTATCGGTAGATTTGCAATTCTAAGGTGTAGTGGGGGAGGTTGAAAGAGTCACCACAAGGATAAGATGGGATTTCCATACAATATCCTGAGTGCAGCCGTAGATGAGTCCACAAGTTATTGTATCATATCCGGAAGGGGGGTTAGATGTTCGCTAATAACTCGCCTTCAACTTTCCAAGTAACTCGCTGTCATTTATTGGTTTAAGCAAGTGGGCCGAATCAAATAATTGTTTATGATCCATTAATATACTTATTGGATCATGTTTAAGTTATAGCTTGGATTAATGAAATGATTAGATAATTACTTTTTATTATAGCATCTATATATTATTCAAGAAATGCTAAATATTATTATTTTAAAATTATTCAAGTTGAATACAAGCTGAAACCAAGAAGTGAATTTAAATTGAGCAAAAAAACAAATATGTTATTCACGAATCATTCAGAAAAAAAAAAAAAATGAACAAGGCGTCTAAGAATAAGCACGAGGGCCACTCAAACAGCTTGTTTACAACACTCTTAATTTTAGCTATATATATTTTTTTAAAAAAAATTAAGAAAGAAATGATCGGAGGCTATTAATCGAGCCCCGATCATCCTTAGGTGCGCTAAATTTTCAAGTATCGCAGCCTACACATGACATAAGTTCAAGTAATTGATACCAGATTTTGACTTGTAGCTAATGCTTGTTTGCACAGAAGATTCATTACATCAAGCTTTATATATATATATATATATATTATAAAAAGGAATGGTCGGAGGCTATTATACGAGCCCCGACTATCCCTCATGCGCCTAAGAATTCGAGTACCACACCCTACACTCGGGGGGAATCAAACCCAAAACCAAAGGGGACTTACAAACTTACAATTAACAAGCAGATGTCCGACTAATTAATCTGAGTACGCGGCGTGTATATCCGCGTACTTAGATCAATTACTTGGGCATATGAAAACCTAAACATCTATGATATTAATATTTATATTTTACTCGACATAAAATGACCTAGGAATGTTATATATTAATTCTTTAAGGAAAACAACAGTGGAGTATTATTGACTCGAATGTAAAAGTTCCTTATAGTTAAGACCTTTAGGAAGACCAAAAAATGCAATTTAAAATTTCTTTCGAGAACAATACCAAAAAGATAAAGAAGTGTTGATAAATGCATGCCCTGTGGACTTTGGTGTCACCCAAAACAACATGCAAAAATCTATTGAGTCAAAGTACTTCGAAAGTGCAATAAATTGAAAATACAACTTGTGTAATTGACAAATAAGTTATTCATCCGGAGCAACACAATGGACCGCATTTTACTCATTCAAAACCAACATTGGAGCAACATTTTATTAGGCTAAAATTACCAATCAAAATAGAGATAGCTGAAGAATATGATGAAGGCGATGACACACTCTATGCAATTTATTCATGGTGGAATTAGGAATTCAACACCACTACTATTAGTTTAGGGTATTTTCTTGTTGATTTAAAATGGTTTTCACAATTTGTGGGGTTTTCTCGTTTTTAATATTCTTGCCATTTTCTTATGTTAATGTCTCCACTATTGATGATTGTGCAATGTTTGTTAATAGTTTCCAATATTGCTAAAGAAGATAACATGAAGGCTACGTGGAACTAATTACTATTGCAGAGTCAGGCGGTGTTCGACTGCGCATAGGATTTAAGTTAAGATTAGCTAAATCCGATGAATTCGGATTTATGAAATCCAAATGTATTAAATTTAAAAATATGTTTGGTACGATTTGATTTAAATCCACTTAAATTCGTATAAATTGTTTGGCATTTTATTTTAGGATTTAACACAAAGGGATTGAAGATTTCAAATTTGACTGCTACGTTGTTGCTCTAAAATCATAGTAGCTTGCTTCTGAGAATGAAAGGACAACAAGTGAGTGAATTTTGACTCGTATAGAAGGAAGCAGATTCCTCCTTGGTGATTTCTTTATAAGCATATCTGTATTTTTTCTATAGTGATTTCATAGCTAAGTGCCTAGACCACAACATTTCTTCATAAGCAGATCTCCTGTGATCATAAAATTATCATCACTATTGTAGAATTTAGCAGAAGAATTCAATAAAATCTTTCCAGCTTCTCATGTGATCATAGAGAGCTGTGAAACTGACTACTTTTATTTTGAGGAATTGGGTGGTAAGTACGCTAACAAGCCAACCGTGTTCTTTGTATGACAGATGAAGATTATCCAATAACTCCTTTCATGTTCTTTCTTTGGCAGATGTGACTCACTACTCCAATTATAGATTAAAAGTGGCTTCTCTCACAATAGAAATTTAGCAAATTTGTGTCGGTCAAATCAGACATAAATTGAAGGTAAGTATGATGATATTTTAGGTTTATCATTGGATTTACGTCTGATTTATGTTCAATTCTTTCTACGAGTAAATCGGGGCTCGGTAATATTAATTCCGTCAATTTTACATCGAAATAATCTGATGCAAATTTTTTTCGTCGATTTTTGCATCGTATTAACGTCGGTTTGTTTAGTCAACACGTTCATCAACCTTGGCGTCCGAAAACATCAGGCGATAAAGAATATCATTGGATAACTTTCAAATTTGAGGTGGATATTATCGATAAACAACGGAATATGATTATCAATTTAGTGTTGGGTTGTTCGGTGCAAAACAAACACAAATCCGATGCAAACATGTACCATAGGAAAAAAAACGCTTAAACATCAATTACATTTCCACAACCTGCACATAATATATAATTCACATCACATATCACATTAGATTCAGACATATAACATATGAAATCTCTAAAAAAATATCATTAATGAAAAAGAAGAAACTTTCACAAATCATCCTGAATAAGAATAATAAAGTTAAACAAAAAATTCTACAATAAATGTTCAAAATAATGCTTACAAATAAAAGAAAATATAAAAATAAACTACTCATCATCTTCTCTTCAACATATGTCAATGGTTGCTTACCCCGAACATCTGCTAAAGTCTCTGCTATGCGTGCTATAGAGTCCTCGACCCTAGGTTGGCCTTTTATAATCTGCTCGCATAACTGGCGGATCTCTTCATTCATTGAAGCGACCTGCCTGGCAAGAGCATCCTAGTTTGGATGTGAGGGAGCTCAGGGAACTCAATAGTGGGCCACAGGAGACCTTGGACTCGAAGGTGATGCCCTTCGCTTCAAGGTTATAAACCCTCACCTTCATTTCTCCCGCCACCTGGGTCCAAAGCTCATTCTCAGTCTGCGCAGTGGTAGACCGACTACCACCGCTGCTGGCAGAAGTCTGGGCCTTAGGGTCTTTTGGGGCAGCTGCAGCTTATTGGATAACCTGCTGATTGATTAAAAATAATCTGCTAATAAGCTAGGTGCGGCGGCTATTACAAATTTTTATTTTTCTAGAAAAGTCAGACTGTTGCCAATAAGCTTCCACCGCACATAGATAGGTGCGGTGTGAAAACGCTATTTTTTTCATTTTGAAAAACGTATAAGCTGCGAAAACGCAGTTTACCCAAACAGGTCAGGTGTGTTTTCAAAACGTCACCACATCAAATAAGCTGCCCCAAATGGGCCCTAAGTGTCTTTTCTGGAGCTGCTCAAACTCCTCCTGCATAATTAAAACTAGTGCTTAATTGACACTTTCAATAATTAGAATTAAAATAATCTTTGAATGTAAGGTTTTTAACTTACAGCAACCCGCTGAGAATGTTCTGAGACTTATTGTGTAGTCTCCGGGCACCGAATATGCAGCTACACAATAGATGGAGGAAGACTCAACTCCTTGGCTTATGTGGGGTACACAATTGGTTAATGCTACAAAATTACTTCAAAGATTGAATTAATTTTTAAATATTAAAAAAAAATCTTACCACCCTTCTGTAGTGTTGTATATGGGGGACTGATTTGCCAATATGAAGTGCAGCTCCCCTGGCCCCTTTATCTCCTGGTTCACCCGGTTTGTCTGCCCCTTCCTCTCATAATCAAGAGAGGCCCATGGTATGGTCAACTGACACCAGAGCTCCTCACCGATCCAAACAGGCTACTCTCCCCTCTGGCAGGCTGTCGTGAACATGTCTCCAAGGGGATGTTTGCCTCGAATCTCAAAGATTCAGCATATTTGATGGCGGTGCTCTGGGAGCCAAGTGAAGAACCTCTGCAGCGTAAAAAATAATCCATGTGTAAGTATAAAACATTAAATGAAATTTACAAATCTGATTCAAATTACATGATTCTAACTCGAACTCCCTGAACCACAAGTCTTGAGTGGCTACATAGATTTGTTTCCATGATAGATATGGCTGATCATACTTGGTCCTGATAATCTCTGTGATACATGTGTTAGACATCTTTTGGTGAATCAATCTACTTAGGAAACAAATTAGTTGCAAAAAACACACAACATGAAGATTAAAGATAATACAATGTTAAAAATAACTTATGAGCCCGCTCTGATAATAAATGTACCTTAGGGGGGGCAGGAGTCTACGGGCCAGGCTCAAGAGGTGTTCTAGAAGCAATTGGGGGAGTAACTGCTGAAGCAACAGACGTCACAGGAAACGAGACGACAACGTGTGCCAGAGCAGTTGTTACAGGAGGGTTTGCGACAGTGGGTGCAGAAGCAGGTGTCACAGGAGGGGTGGCAGCAGCAGGTGCTGGAACAGGTGTCACAAGAGGTGCAACAATAGTAGGTGAGGGAGCAGTGACATAAGTAGATGACCTCTTCTTCCTGCTCCGGTAGATGCTCTCTAGTGTCCCCAAAACACAGAGTCTCTGAGGTGGGTGACCATTAGCACCACCTGTAGTTATCTGCAAACAAAAAAATGTCATTAATGAAATTTGTACTGACAGTAAAAATAATCATAAGCAGAAGAAACAGTGCAGTAAAGGTAAAAAAGTAGTAGAAGCTATGTCTAAAAATAAGAAAAGTGAGACTAAAAAGCCATGCCTCAATATAGAAAAAGTAAAAGACAAAAAGTAGTAGTGGTAACCACTGATGTAAAATTACATACCTTTGTTATTGAGTTTCATTAGAGGAACTCGTCATCGAAGATGAACCTATTATTTATTGTTCACTCTAATCATCATCCTCATCCATATCATGATCAACCTCTTCAAAAATCCTCGTGGTATACTCTAGCGCGAACATTTCATCGTTTTTGTCTCCCTGAATATGAAAATCTAACATACCTTTCTCCTCGTAAATTAGTTATATATTATGATGCATGAAAAAGTTAACAAGAATTTAGGATTATTTTTATACATTTCTACTAATGATATTGCAATTTAAGAAAGATATTTTTGTATTTATCTTACATGTACAACAAGTAATTGAAGTGGGGAAACCAGGAGAAGACTTGGAGTTAAAGGAGCAAAGTGGCACTGGCTTCTAGGTGCCGGACCCTTGGGCACCTAGGCTCATGTACTAATTTATGGTCTTCAAAGGAATTATTTCATAACATAAATTTTCTTAGAGAGGTATGGAGGTAGATCTAGCCCAAATAGAAGTTTTTTGGGTCATGCTTGACTTTATTAGAAATTAAGGATTTCCCCAAAATCGCTAAACATCTATGCCATCTGTTGGAAAATGACGTTCTATTAGATTTTGACCAGGATTGCCTAATTGCAAGGAGTTAGTCACTACTATCATAATTATTTCTCCTAATTGGGAAGCCCATTTGAGTTAATTTGTGATGCAAATGACTATGCCATAGGGGCGGTTTTAGGACAAATGTACGATAAAATGTTTTGGGTTATATATTATGCTAGTAAAACCCTTAATGAAACTCAGATTAACTATACCACTACTGAAAAAGTATTGCTAGCTATAGTATATGTGTTCGACATATTCAAGCCATATTTGATTGGTACCAAGTGTATTGTTCATATCGACCATTCTGCAATTCAGTATCTGACATCAAAAAAGGACGTCAAACCAAGAATGATCAGATGGGTCTTGTTGTTGTAAGAGTTCAATATCAAAGCTGTAGATAGGAAATGTATTGAGAATCAACTAACATATCATTTATCGAGATTGGATCAGGGAAATTCATCTGCATTTAATGAGGATATCAATAAAAAATTTCTTGATGAGCAATTGTTTGTTGTTACTGATTGAAACTATGGTATGGTGACAAAGTAAATTACATAGTCAGTGATATTTTACTCTATGCTCTGACTTATAATCAACGGAAGAAGTTTGTTCATGATGCCATAAACTATTTTTGGGATGATCCATATCCTTTATCAGAAGTGTAAAGGCTAGGTAATTAGGAGGTGTTTACTCATAAAAGAGACCCAACATGTTATATCATGATTATGAATTTGGGGGACATTTTGAGGTTTATAGAATTGTTGCTAAGATATTATAATTTGGATTTCATTGATTTACTCAGTTTAGGGGTGTAAATGAATATATAAAAACTTGTGACAGATACCAGAGAGTAGGTAATATTTCCAGGCTCGATGTAATGCCTCCCAAATTTTACTTTAAAGATTGAGATTTTTGACATTTGGAGTTTAGACTTCATGAGACCTTTTATACCTTCTTTAAGGAATCTATATATTCTGATAATTGTGGACTATATCTCAAAGTAGATAAAGGCAATGACCTTGCCGAATTGTGAAGCTCAAAGTGTATCTAAATATTTAAAGAAGAATATATTTCACAGATATGGTATGCCTAGAGTTATCATTAGTGATGAGGGGAGCCACTTTAGGAATATAAGGATTGAGACATTAGTGGAGAAGTATGGTAGAAAGCATAAGATAGCCACATCATATCATCCCCAGAAAAGTGGATTAGCATAAGTTTCTAATAGGGAGATCAAAATGATTTTGGAGAAAACTGTCAATCCTAACAGAAAAGATTGAGCATTGAGACTGGATGATGCTTCATAGGCATACATGAGTGCTTATAAGACACATATAGGGGTGTCTCCATATAGGCTCATATTTGACAAAACTAGTCACTGCCAGTTGAATTGGAGCACAAAGCGTATTAAGATGTTAAGAAGTTCAATTAATTATAATATGATAGAGGCTGGTGAGAAACATTTGATACAGTTAAATGAACTTGATGAGATTAGACAAGAATCTTATGAAAATGCCAAAATATATGAAGAGAAAATGAAGAGTTGGCATGATCAAAAGATTATTAGGAAAAAAAATTGAGCTTAGATAGGATGGTTTATTGTACAATAGACAATTGAAATTATTCCTAGGAAAACTAAAATCCAAGTGGTTAGTACCATTTACTGTAGTGTATAAGTCTTTCAACTCATGTACGATGTTATTGAAATAATTGTTGCATACTTTTGTTGTTCTTTTTCATTAAATGATTATTGGATAGAAAAATAAGTTCTTACATCGCAAGAAACATGCATCTTTAAATGGTGAAGGGATTTCACTATGAATTTTGAATAAGTATTTATTCTACCCTTCACATAGATTTTTTATTCTTATTTAGTGAAGGGATCTGAGGTCTGAAAATTTGACTTGACTGGTCGAAGATCTCGGCCTCTACCGAGCTTTTACTCTTCTTATCAAAAAGTATACTCATGATATATCTTTTCTTAACAAATATTAGTAATATTTCTATTATTTATGTATTTATTTTGAAATATAAAATTAAATTGTAAAATAATGAGGAAATTATTTTAATTACATAACACCCAAATTTTGAATTATAAACTTAAATTGCAAATTCAAACGACACAAACATACTTTATTCATCATACTTAGAACAAAAACATGCTCAATATTAAGTCTTAAGAGCCCTATTATTAATAAATCCTACATTGCCAATGTTCATATTCTAAATTACCTTAAAATCTTCAAAACAAAAATAATGGCATCAATAATAACAAAACTACTACGATTACAAAATTAAGCAAGACCAAGTCCTTCAACGTCTTCAAAATTCTTCTTAACCATGTCTTCAACTGCTTTTCTTTCTTCATAACCCAGGTCATATGTTGTATCACCAACTTCAAATGCCCACTTAAAATGGTTACAATCTTCATGTGATCTATTTCTAGGGCATCGATAGAATTTTCTATCATGGTTGTCACCTTTATGAGTTGTATGCACCACACAAAGCAAGTTGCAATCGCAATACATTTTACGATGTCTGATGCCGTTTGAACTTGCCAATTGCTTGTGCTCATTTTGTATGATTCAATTCTATAAATCAAATATAAGTACATAAATTAGTGTCCATTCTTGAGATAAAAAATACCTAAATGAAAATTTGTTTGAAATGATATGTTTATTTTCAGGAACATATTCTAAAAATTGAACATTAAGATATTGTTTATGATGTTTGACAAGATTTATGACGCCTCCAACAAATAGTCTTTTTGAGTAGGCTTATCAAATTTCTACACAAACACTGAAATTTTCTTCAGTTGTCTTTTTTTTTAATTATTTTTTAATTTTTATTGAGGCCTAATACTTATTTTTGTTCGGCTTGCTCAAAATTTATTTTTTTCCAAAAATACTTGGTTCAAATTCATTTTTTTTATTTAATTAGAAATTAACTTGAATGATTTATAAAATAATAAAATTTAATATTTTTAAAACATAAAAATTAATATAAAAAAATTTATAATAACATCGTTATTTAATTATTTAGTTAATTTAAGCTAAAATGATCAGCTGAACAACTCGTGTTTGACTCATTTATAAATTTGAGCTAAAAAAATGGCCTAATTCAACTGGCCGGCGTAACGAATAAACTGAACACAAGTTAAATAGCAAGCCGAACAATAGTTGTTCGCTATGACTTATTTTTTTGACAGACCTAATTGAAATCTGACTAGCAAAGTTAACAAAGATAGCATGATAGAATAAGAGAATAACGTTACACGAAAACATTTGTACCATTATTGTCGACTTGCTAATTAATTTGGCCGGGATTCAATCAAACTGACCTAACTTTGAACTTGAAATTATTTGAAAAGGTTATATTACCCTTTCAGTAATTTAAAAAAAAAAAATTGAAATGTTAGACGTTAAGAGCTAAGCATTAAAGCTGTAACTACTATTAATACCTAAATTGCATCTTTTTATTATTATTATTTTTTGTCAGATAATTTTTTATTGCGTAGCTGAAATTTCATGACGCATATGATTTTGCTTTTGCGTTCTTCAAAATAATGATAATAATAAAATAATTTGTTTCTTAACCGCGAGAGCAATCAGATGATCATGAGAAAGTATAATCTTACTCGAATAATTTTTTCATGCAATATATATATATATATATATGTATGAAATAATTATAAATTTATTACATTAGAAAAATTCAAACTAAATAATTAAAATTCTATCATTTTAAGTAATTTAATTTCATCCATTTGATCATAAATTGATGGCTTAGATTGAATCTCTAAGTCTTATAAACTAATAAGTATCGAACTACAAAAACCCTAATCCCTTATTCCTACCCCGCATCCCACAACCCACTACCATTTGTTTCGAGTTTCATTTCGAGTCTGATGTTAGATATGTAACTCTATAGGAACTGCGTGATATGCCCCAACAAAAAATCTCATTCATAACCTTATTTTATCATTTTTATTGGCGTAACATACATTTACTGATTGGCCTGATTTTATAAAATTTTATTATACACATTATGAGATCCAAGTCTATTAAGTGTTAAGGATGGAGCCCAGTTTGTGACCTCGTGATCCCGCTCCCTCTTGGTCGCGCTAGCCTCCATGTTCCCGATCGCGGGAAGTCACGACCTTCCACGCGAACTGTTCCCGCGATCTGACGTTCACAAATCACCGCGAC